GCAAGGGCTGAATTCTAATTCTTAAAACAATTACATTTTAAAGACTTCCAGGGCATAGAAACATTATGAAATTATAACCAAAACATCAGTCACACAATTCTTCACATACCACATAAATTGTTAGTTATAAAGTAAGTGTATAAAACATGTATTCCTATACATGATTTCTGGAATTTTGGATTTCCTACAACTCAGTTATCTTCACATTTCTATCTTGAGACTCAAATAGGTTAGGTGATAAGACTTCTTTCTTCACCTCCTAAATTCCACCTCCCCCCAAAAAGGGAGGGGGCCTAAACTGTTTCTTAAGTTCCTCCCAACTCTACCATTTCATGACTGAACTCATCAGTAATTCATCCTCTCTCTACAACAAATGCCTGGAACTCCCAATTTCTCATCTTTATTAAACAGAGCTGCTCCCACACAGCACAGAGCTTTCCAGCTCCTGTGTTGTGTTCCTACTGAGTATATCACATCCCTGTAAACTATATAATCTCCCTTAGACAATGATCTCCAAGCTCCTTTGTTTAGTTAAAAAGTATGAGCAAATAGTCCCACTACATAGTGTATGCTTAAGTATAGATTCTTACATTATAAAGTGACTTAAAAGAACCTTTGAAATACTGGGCTAAAAATAATATATAAAAAATAAACATTTAGAGCAAGTCAGTTAAAATGGATTAAGACATTATCAGTGTAACTGCAAAAATTTTCCAGATTTTCTAGTACTGCAAAATATACAAAAGCCCCTCAAAACAAGCCTTTTACAAGACAAACTAATACAACTTTAGAACTTGATATATAAGGCTGATTATAAGTGCTGATTAAACTATTGTCTAATTATATTACAAAATTATCATAAGGTAATGAAACTGGCACCTCCATTGGAAGTTTATATGTATTTATACATATTATATTTTTTGGAATGGAAGATAATTCTATTTATTTGTTTAACCCCCTGTTAAAGAATTCATCAGGATTGGCCTCACCCACGTCTCACTGTCCTTATATCCCCTACCTCCCTGGCCTCTCTAATGTACCCACCCAAATTCCTACACTGCCAAACCCAATTCTCTGCCTAGCTCAGGCCTCAAGAACTGAATATAGGTGGAGAAAAGACACAGCCATATTGGCTGATCTTAATTTTCATTTCATGCCCATACCCTTTAAATAAGCACTTGAATCCTCCTAGCAAATTGGTTTTCCTACTCTGAGAACATTTACAGCTCCTTTGAAACCTCCAATATCAGTCTCTTCCCTGCCCTAACCAGTTACTTCATCAAGAAAATGGAAACAATCACTAAGCCTTACCTTTCCTCTTTTATCTTACCTGCATGTAAGATGGGGGACCAAACCCCACCCCTGGAATTTAATTATAAAAAACTGTGTATGTTTTCTTACACTTTTAAACTTCAGTCACTTTCAAAGTACTCTCCATTTGATGCAACACACCTATCAAGACTTCCTACTGATCAAAACAATTTTTTGAACTTTGCATTTTGATGCCTTTTAGAGCTTCTGCCATTTTTTTGTTTCACCTCTTCCACATCAGCAAAAATGTTTCCCTTTGGGGACTTTTTCTTCATTCAGGGAACAAACAAAAAATTCGCTTGGGGTGACATTGGGTGAACTGGGAGGGTGGGGCCTGAGGGTCATGCTGTTTTGGGGCAAAAACTGCTGAACACTCAGTGGTATGGGCAGGTGTGCTTGTAAATCACCCGTCATGAAATGGGCAAAAAGCATGAGTCTTCAAAAAAAATTCACTGAAGTGGAACCCAGCCTCTTGCAACAATGCCATTTGGCATACTGATTACAGATGGGGAAGTTCCCAGAACACTCACCTAGGGGGGGAAGCCTTCAAGGGACCCACCCTCCAGAAGATAATTCTAGTTTTTTGGGTCCCCCTCCCCTGTATATCATATACTATCTACCCACCTGTTTCAAAAGTAAACTAGAAACTACCCTTCTATCCAAGGCCAACCTTTCCACATAAGGACATTTAGCCAAAGATTTTCTTACCATTATCCCCAACAAAAAATTTATCCCCTCATAGAAATACTGTAATATCACTATCATTCATTTCTCCTTAACCCACTCTGATAATTTTTGGTCCACCAGTTCATTCAAAGGGCTCTTACTGAATTTCAACTACTTTACTTGGTCAGATGATCAATTTTTAATCCTCCTCTTTTCGGAGCAGGGTTTCACAGTAGACTTACTGCCTCCTTCCTGAAGTTTCTTATTCTTAGTATTACTGATGTTACACTTTTCTGCTTCCATCACCGTTTGCTCTTCTGACCAAAGTGCTCCCAGTCACCTCTCTCTTCTCCATTAACACTCTATACTTGATGTCCTCCAGTCCAAAGATTTAAAATATCACTTATAAAAGTTTGACTCCCAGATTATCTCTTTAGCCAGACATATCCCCTGAGAAACAGTAGTGCAAATCCAACTTGGCTACTGCACATACTCTGAGCTGTATACTAGTTATCAAACTCAGTATATCCCTTAAACAGCTCCTGATTTATTCCTCAGAAACCAGTGCACCCTTGCCAGCCTTCCTAATTTTTCACCCAGGTGCTCCAGCAAAACAATCAATTTCTCAAAAAAAAGTTTTTTGTTGTTTGTGTTTTAGTCCTAGGCATGAAAGTAACACCCATTTGGCTCCATCTTAAAATTACATTCTAAATCAAACCACTTCTCACTAACTTACAACTCAACACCACCGTTTCTCAACTGGACTATAATTGAGGCTCCTTAGGAGCTGGTTTCCCCACTTTCCTCCAACTTGGTCTATTCTGAACCAACAAACTAGTCATCAGGAACATAAATCAGTTGTCACTCCCATGCACAAAATCCTCTAATACCTTCTCATTACAGATAAAAAAAAAATGAATATCAAGGTCTATTTCATTTAGACCTTGTGAATCACCCAAAACTCATCTCCCGTCACTCTTCCCTCATGATGCACTAGCTTCACTGGTGTCCTTACAATTATAATAGGTCAGGTTCATTCCTCCCATAAGGTTGCATTTGCAGTTAATGCTATCTAAAATTTCTTCCTGTACATTTTCCAAATCATTTTGGTCTTCAGGCAAAACATCAACTCCTCACAGAGGGAGATCTTCTCTGTTCACATCCCAATCAAAATTAGACAGCCCCAACCTAGTCACTCTGACTTAATCTAACTCTAACTGTATTTTCTTCACATTCATCACTGCCTGAAACTGTTATTTCCATACTTTCTATGTATCCTCTCTTTCTTCAAGCTCCAAGAGAGCAGGACTATATAGTGGCATATAGTGGATACTCAAGAAATATTTCTCTAATGAATGGGACCATTGTTTTTTAATAACCAAGGCTTTAAATTTCAGGCATCACTGGATGGGCTTTTTAAAAATTTGTTTATCTTTAGAAGGGTAGGGAAGGAGAGGAGAGAAATATCAATGTATGGTTGCCTCTCCTGTGTCCCCTGCTGGGAACCAAACCTCAGTTGTTTGGTTCACTGGCTGGCACTCAATCCACTGAGCTACTCCACCCAGGGCTGGATGGGCTTTTTTTGATCTTAGAAAGTGTAAATGTTTAGCACAGGTTAGCTAAAATGCATTAACACATTAGTGTAACTGCAAAGATTTTCCAGATTATTTTCTAGTACTGAAAAATCTATCCCCCAAAACTCCAAACAGCGTTTTATGAGACACAAATTAATATTACTTTAGAATTTGATATATAAGCCTACGTAACTTCTGACTATAAGTTACTGCCTTATTACAAAACTACCATAAAGTAATGAACTTGGTGTCCTTAACTTTAAATTTTTATATGATTATATACACATATTTTGGAATGGCAGATAATAAGTCTCATGTCTCATAAATAAGGAGAAAAAGAGAGTCATCTAAAAATGAAGTTTGAGCCCTGGCTGGTGTTGCTCAGTGGATTGAGCACGGGCTGTAAACCAAAGGGTCACTGGTTTGATTCCCAGTCAGGGCACATGCCTGGGTTGCGGGCCAGGTCCCCAGTGGGAGCCGTGTAAGGGGCAACCGGAGATTGATGTTTCTCTCCCTCTCTTTCTCCTCCCTTTCCCTGCTCTCTAAAATAAATAAACAAATAAAATATTTTTTTAAAAATGAAGTTTGAAGCCCAAATCACTGGCAATAAACAATAACATCCACGATGACTGGGACCACAGCAGTATCCTTGCCATCGTATTTCCAGAATGAATGAATCCACTGTAAACTGTGATGTAAAAGAGGTTAGAGATTTATCATTTTGGTCCACTAAACAGGAAACAACTATAGGGGAATCAAAAAGCAAATTTGGCAGTCTGAAAATGAGCTTTTAAAACTCTAAAAGATTTCAGTTGTTTTCTACACTGAAGGCGATGCAAAGAAATGCTAACAATTAATGACACGAACTCCACAGCTATAGGTTTCTAAAGAGGTTTTAGTTTCATAAGAGAAACTAAGGGACCACTGTACTAGGCACTGGATACCTTTCAGGTAAGTCTGGGAGGTAGAAGCGCGACCACCTGAAACCACCTAGTCGGCCAGAGATGGACCAGTAAGTTGCCCACAAGGTAAACTCGGGGTCCCGCAGCTGGAAAGAGCGAGAGCCCTGTACTATGACTAGGAACTGCCTCCAAGAAAAGAACGAATCTTAGTGTACGTGAGGAAAGCAAAAATAAAAAGCCACAGAGCTGCCATGTCCTAACTCCACCCTCTGCGTGCTCAGCCCACAGATGGTACAGTCTCCCTGCCGCCGCCCCTCCTTCCGCTCCTTTCCTACCCCACTGAACGGCGCCCGGAAAGGTTCGGCAGTCCTCTTCTCCCCTCCCCCAAACCAAAGGCAGAGGAGGCCCGAGGAGGTTGGGAGCTTCCGTTCCTTCCCCGCCCAAATGGGAAAAGGTGGGCAGTGGGGAAACGAGCGCGCCCCGTACGCGTCCCTGTCTTCCTCCACGCGGTCCCAGAGCTCCGTTCGTACCCAAACCGGAGACTCACCGGTTAGCACTGCAGCCACTGCACCAGGTCCCCGCACACCACCACAGCCCCCACTCCAGGGCCGCCCCCCCACCCCAGAAGCCTGCCGCCGTTGGTTCCGGGGCAGTTGGAGGAATTACTTCCGCCGGGTTACGAACGCTTTCTACCACACGCGGGAGATTAGTATCTTGGTAAAGCGGAGGTACGCTGAAAGAGTGTCGCCCACTTCCGTCCACAGGAAGGGCACAGCGCCCCCTTCTCTCAATGCCGCACTACCCCAGGCCAGCGTCGGGGCTCAGCAATCACTCGCAAATCTCCACCAATGTGATACTAGGTCTCTATAACCCTTCTAAGTCCCTATGGAGCACCGACCTTGATCCAATCTCCTTAGGGACTGTATCCTCAGAGAGGGGCTGGTGGCGGAGGGGCGGGGAACGCGCGCGCGAGGCCGCACTGCACCCTGGGATTTGTAGTTTTCCGGTCGGTCCGCCGTGGTTGGTTAAGGCAGCAGTGCATCCTGGGACTTGTAGTTTCTCACGCTGGCTTTTAGGATTTGGGTAGTTTTTAGAAGTTGTTCCTGCCTCCCTTTTACGGGTACGCCTGGAGGCCGGAGGTTCTCTGCAGGAGAAAGATCGAAAGGTGGGAGTGCGGTTTCTATGCTAATAAAATCGTGTTTTTTAGGAAGCAACGTCCTTGTTGTGAGAAGTTGCAGTGTGTATTGCAAGAGCTTCTTAACTGTTCGCGCAATCGGCTGGCTCATTTCCTCTCTTCCCGCTACCGTTCAGTGTTTTCCGAAAATTGCTCCACCCCTTCGTCCCCTCCCATCCCTTGGGTTGCTCAGCTGTTTTGGATTCAGAGATCATTCACAGAAATTCAGGCTTCTACAGCTAGTACTTAATACTGAGACCATCTTTGTTGCTCCACGCCCCCTCTGCCCCCGCCCCCTCTTTTTCTCTCTCTCGACCCACCCATCCTTTTTTCTTGCTTTTCTGTGGTTAATATCAGGTACCCTTCCGGGTAGACTGAAAGAGCTAAATATTCACCCTTTTTACAGGACTGTTGCACGTAGGAAAAGTAGGGCCAAAAAGCTCACCATCGCAAGTTACTCAAGTAAGCACTATTGTGCCGTAAAGGGAAACAAATACTGACGATCCAAAGCTTGTGGGCCTGATTAATGACCTTTGCCTGGAAGACATTTTTAGTTGATTTGGCAGATAAGCTGTATTGCTTTTTACCAAAAGACTTTCCTGGGTTAACTTATCACAGTCTTTGAAAAAATTATTCAACTTTTTTGGTTGGAGGGGAGGAGATGCAATGGTATAAGAGGAGGCTGTGGGCCCATTTTCAGACTTTTTCTTCTTTATTTTTGAAGTGTCTTTTTCTCTCCTATCTTGCCCTTTTTTGCTCGCTACATTATCACCCTATAAAGGATGATAGTAATCTAGAGAATGATAAAATTATCAAGGTGAGGATACTGAAGCTAGCTAATGCCAGACTGAAGGTTAGAATCTAGGGTAAGACTTTTTTTTTGGTGCAAAGTTTTATTTTATGTACAAATATTATTTATGTAATCAATATACATGTTTATTATAAAAATGCAGAAATTGCAGATGAGTTTTTTTTCATGACCTTTTACACAGATCATGCACTTGATTGTTCTGATGTGTAGCCCGTGTTGTTGACAGAATAGAATATGGAGAGAGAGAATGGTTTCCTATAGGCAAAGGTGTCAGACACGGGTGCATTCTGTCTCCCTATTAGTTTAATCTTTATGCAGAACATACCATATGAAAAAGTGAGCTAGATCCAGAGGAAGGAGGAGTGAAAATTGGTAAAAGAAATACTAGTAACTTAAGATGTGCAGATGACACCATCTTACTGGCAGAAAGTGGCAACTGTTTGAAATGACTTTTGATGATAGTGAAAAAAGAAAGTGCCAAATCTGGACTGCATTTGAACATCAAGAAGACAAAAAAAAAAAAAGACTACAGAAAAAATGCACAACTTTGACACAGACCACAAAAACACTGAAATTGTTAAAGATTTACCTCATCAATTCAAATGGAGACTGCAATCAAGAAATCAAGACAAGGCTAAGACTTAAAAGGGCAGCAATGAAAGCATGTTGCAAGATTGCCATGAGCAAAAATGTGTGATTAGAGACCAAGGCTAAGACCATCCACACCCTCATAGTCTCCTATGTATAGATTCGAAGTTGGACAGTGAAGATGGCTGATAGGGAAAGAATTGTTTCATTTGAAATACAGTGTTGGAGGAGACCTCTATGGATATCCAGAGTTGCCAAAAAGAGGAACAACTGTGTCTTAGAAAAAAAATAGGCCTGAAACATTGCTGGAGGCAGTGGACAAAACTGAAGTTGTCCTACTTTGGGCACATCATGAGAAGATATGGTTCTTGGAAAAAGATAATAATACTGGGAAAAGTAGAAGGCAGCAGGAAAAGAGGAAAATCAAATATGAAATGGATTGATTCCATAAAAGGAGCCATAGGCACAAGTCTACAGGAGCTGAGCAGGACTGCTGAGGACAGGACATTGTGGATGTCACTTATTCAGAGTTGCCTCAATAGCATCTAACACACTGTATATATGGTTCTGCATACAATTTATTTTCCAACTTGACAAATCGCAAAAACCCAAACTTCTGTAACCAAAATCTCCACAAGCATATTTTTATGTTTTATATTGTCTTGTTTTATCACTTTTAAATTTTTAAAAATGTAATTGTTGTTCAAGTACAGTTTTCTGTCTTTTACTCCCATCCCAGCCCACCCCCCCAGTGCTCCCCACCTCCCTCCCATTTCCACCCACCTTAGTTTTTGTCTATGTGTTCTTTATACTTGTTCCTGTAAATCCTTCCCCTTTTACCATTAAATTCCCTCCCCTCTCCCATCTGGTCACTGTCAGCCTATTCTCTATTTCAGTGTCTTTGGTTATATTTTGCTTATTTGTTTTATTGATTATGTTCCTGTTAAAGGTGAGATTCATATGGTATTTGTCTTTCACTGCCTGGCTTATTTCACTCAACAAATGCTTTCCAGTTTCATCCATGCTGTTGCAAAGGGTAGGAGTTCCTTTCTTTCTGCTGCATAGTATTCCATTGTGAAAATTTACCATAGTTTTTGATCCATTCATTTACCTATGGGCACCTAGGTCGCTCCCAACACTCGGCTATTATAAATTGTGTTGCTATGAACATTGGGGTGCATAGGTTTCCACAAGGATAATTTTAAATGTTTAGAATTGCATTGCTTAAATGTACCATGATTCACTTAAGTGTTTCCCTGATGTTGGCTGTTTACCTTATTTCCATTTCTAAATTATTTTAAATAATGCTGAGTTTAGTATCTCTGAAGACATCTTCAACCATGTTTCTGATTATTTCTTTAGAATATGAGCATTTAAAAAATCTTGACAATTTGTTGACAAATTTTTTTCTAGAAAGACTCTCCCAGTATATGCTTTAAACCAATACTATATATGGAAGTTTTTATGGTTCTTAGCAATAACTTCTTACCAAAATCTTTCTTTTTTTTCCCCCCCATCATGCCACTTTGCCCTTTATGGTCCACCTTAAAGGATGGAAAGGGGTTGGTGGATGGGGAGGAAATAAAGATTACGTACAGCAATAAGGGCCATACAGTCTACAAGTAGCACCCATTTTCAATTTTTCTATCATCCTCCATTTTTAAAAATATTTTATTTATTTATTTTTAGAGAGAGGTGAGGGGGGAGAAAGAGGGAGAGAAACATCAGTGTGTGGTTGCCTCTCACTCGTCCCCTACTGAGGACCTGGCCTGCAACCCAAGCATGTGCCCTCACTGGGAATCGAACCTGTGACCCTTTAGTCCACAGGCTGGCACTCAGTCCACTGAGCCACAGCAGCCAGTGCTCATCCTCCATTTTTAAAGGGAATCTCTGAGGTGATATCAACAAGGAATCAAAGCTTAATTTTTAAACAACCTTGGTATCATTCTAAAACCCCATTTAAGTAGTTTACATTCAACAAATGTCTCTAAAGTACTAGATTTGGGAAATCTACTTAACAATGCATAACAATTTCCTATAATTTTATAGCACAGTTTTCAGATGTGATTTCATTTTAGCTATTTAAAAACCTGAGTAGACCAAATGTTATTTTTATTTGCTTACTATATTTGTAGGAGGGAACAAAGCTTAACAGAAGATAAAAATGCAGGTTTTCTCAGCATATTATTGATATAATCAAATGAAAAGGCCATTAGACTGAGATGACTCAGATGCTTGGTAACCTAGTAAGCAAACCAAAACCTAAGCCAGAATCAATTCCTACAAGTACCTCAAGGATAAACAGCCAACTAGGTTTTCACGAATAGTGCAACCACTTAAGTTATAGCCAATAAAAGTTTCTTTGCTTTGCCTGTATATCTTCTTTATAAAAAACCTTGTGCTTTAGCTCCCATCAGTTGAGCCCTCTTAACTATTTCCAGTTTGGTGCTGCCTGATTTGAATAATTTTTTGCTCAAATAAACTCAAAATTATTAGTATGCTTCAGTTTATTTCTTAACAATATTAAACAAAAACACTACATGAACACAAAAAGTTCAATATGAGAAGTAGTGTAATTTGATCCTTCTGGGTACCCAGAAAAAAGCAGACAGGATTTGGAGTTGCTAGGGTGATATAATTTTAGTGTTCTTCTCTGATGCAAGTAACCTGTTTGGTCAAAAACAGTTCTCAAAGAGTAAACAAAAATGATTTTACCATTTGGGTGTTCATTCTTCAAGACTAAGATGAATACGAGGTCTTTAGACATTTTGAGGCCAAATTAATCATGTTACGGGTTTCTGTAGCATTTTGTAAATTGCTATATTTTAATTATATTACGGTGTTATATTTTAGATTAATTGGCGTTTCCTCCACTGTGTGAGCACTGTGGATTGCAGATTATATCCAGTATCTTTATATGTTCTGCTTCTTATTCCTGACAATAGACGCTTAATCCCACTTTAACAAGAGGTGAACGAGTATATATGGATGAGAGTAATTCTCCAAGATAAATTTAACAAGTATCAACGTTCTGTGGACAAGTTCCATTTATTTCCTGTCAACCCACAGGTTGCATTAAATTGTCATTAATTTCTTTTTAAATCGTATAAAGTATTATTCCTCGGTGCCAACAGGCTAGAATCATTTTCCGCAAAGAAAATAGTGGTTTGGGGCTAGAAAATGATGCCCACAAGAAAGATTTAACCCTGGCTTTCAGGGTTTGTCCTTCGCGTATGGCTATCCCCTGATTCCTTCCACACTGGCAGCAGAGCGCCAGACTACGGGACCCGCAAGCCCCACGCGAGGGCTGGGCTTTTAGCGAATTGCGAGAACTACGCCGACAGGGAACGCAAGCGACGGGGGTGAAGGTTGCCGGCGGGCCGCATATTCCGTGCACGCGTGGCGACCAATCCAGCCCGGTGGCCCTTAGGGTGCAAGGCGTGTTCGATTTAGTCCGGCTGGCTTTAAGGGTTTTAAAACCCTTTAAGGGTTTCGGGCGGCCCTCGCAGAGCCGTGGGTAGCCACTTCTCAAGTGCGGAATGTTGCTTCTGGCGTTCGGCGGCCCGCTGGCGGCTGGACCGCTCCTGGGCAGAAAGAGGGCGGTGTTGTGGGTGGCCACTTCGCTCCCAGGCCTCAGGGCGTCTGTCTCCCGGACAGCCTTCTGCAACACCTCCTTCGGGCCGGTCGGCGGCAGGAGCGCTGGGCTGCGGGCAGCCGTGCCGCATTTCCAGCGTCCCGTGCTTTTGCAGGTCGGCTTTTGGAGGGCTGCGGGCCCGAGCAAGGGTGGGTGGTCCTCAAGTGGAGTCCTACTTGAGGAGGCCCGGCTCTTCAGCAGCTTCTCCCCACGCCTGCGGTGGGCTCTAGTGTGAAATGAGCCCTCTGCGGGATTGGCGGGAGTAACTGGCCTTGCCTGGGGAACAGCCCGTGGTCCCCTGGGCGCGGCGCCGGCGAGTCTAGGATCATCTCTTAGAAAGTGGTTATTCTCTGGGTGGTACCAGGCAGTTTACAGGGTGTTGCAATAAATACGGCGGATTTGTGGAGGCTTACCGGTATTTTCTCCTGCTCTTTAGCAGAAGCTGGGAAGGGTTAATTTGCAGCAGAAGTATATGCACCACCTGAGCACGAATTAAGAACTCGGATAACCTTGAGTTATATTTTTTATTGGGTTCTATATTTAGGAATTCTTTTGCTCCCTGGACAAAGGGGATGGAGACGTTAATTTTTTTCATTTTAATCTCAATAAATTGTATTCTAATCCTGTCTTGTTAAATACCAGGATTGAAACTTGGAGGAGATCCCAAACTTAGGAATTCGAATTTAATATTTCAGCAAAAAAATAGTTAGGCATATTTTATGAGGTGTATGTGCTGTAAGGTTTATTTTCAGACGTTCGGGGACTCTTGGTCCCGTGAAATTTGATGTTGGATTTCAACTGAAATATTTTTCTTAAAAGGAACAAGGGATGGAAGAGGATGGATATAAGGCCTTCAGGGAAAGAAGTTGCTCTTATCTTTTTTTGTACTGTACTAGCTATAGTATATTTTAGAAGTATTAAAAACAGTCTGGACTTTACACGATTTGATTTTTTAGTGTTTTGCTTACATCGTGTTAAGATTAGTTTTCGAAGAGCAAGTGCATGTAAATCTTTGATAATCAAATGAGAGTGGTGTTCTCATTAACAGTTTAATAGAAGAAACAGTTTAATATTCCAGTAAACATTTTTTTTGTGCTCAAGGTCACACTATTTAAAAAGCTTGGAGCAGGGACGCAAACCTAGGTGTTCAAACTCCAACTCAGTATGTGTCTAATTATGACTGATATTAAGGAAAGACATTCTATTAGCCAGTTTGATTTCTTTAGCTCTGCAGATTACTGGGGAAAATTCCTTAAATCACCTCATGTGACAAGTTCTCTTTTCATTATCTTAATGTTTTTTAATGTAAAAGTAGGTCTAAATGCAATTTATTGTGTACTTATAATGGTCTCTTTGAATAGATACCACTTCGTTGGGAAAGATGTGTTCAAGGCTTACATACACAAGTTGAAAAATCAGAAGATGAAAGGCTGATTTATACTGGGAATCTGGCCCGAACAGTATTTGGTAGGTAATCAGAAATGAGGCTGTTTTCTTTTTTTCTTTTAATTGTTAAAAAATGAAAATGCTCTTAGCTTGTGTTACTTTAGCACTTCTTAATGGCAAAACATAAGGAAAAATTAGATCATAATTTTTTTCTTGTGGCCTTTTGATAAAAGATTTAAAGGTTGAGACCTTTGCATTTTTAGTTTTAAAAGAAATTTTTGAAGTCTATTATGACTTTGTGACCTTATGCCTGGGTGTTAAAGCTTTCTTCATTTGGTCAACTCTTGGGATGTGTAACAACAAAATACAACAAAAAGTGTATATTTGTATAATGTTTGAATATACAGTGAAAAAATTGAAGAATACCTCTGAAAATTAGTTATTTTTGGGGAAAAGACATTTATATACTTAAAAAATTTGGTAGTTAAAATGAGCATGCTATACTTTTTTTTACATTTTTTCAGGTCATCTTTCAACAAATATGTTTTTAGTGGCTTTTCCAGGTAGTAGAAAGTTATGGAGAAGGGAAAGACAGTGCCAAATTGCTACAAGTTTAAAGCTCTTTCCTTAGATCATAATTTAGGTTTTAGTATGGAACAATTTAGTAAAGAAGATTGAGAGAATTTAAGTATCTCATTATAATCTTCAAAAAATATATAGCCTGAACTATCAGGAGGATTATTTTATAACCAAGTTCACCATAAGATTTCAGCACCCTCGTGTATTTGTTTTTGATCATGCTGGTATCAACCAATTATCTAAAATTTACTCTGGAAATCTAAGTTCTCAAGTGTGTGACATTAAAATAGAGTGTATTTAAAGTACAGTTTTAGGTATTTAAAACTTTTTAGGATCAGTGGATTGAGTGCAGGCCTGCAACCCAGAGGATTGCAGTTCGATTCCCAGTCAGGGCACATGCTTGGGTTTCAGGCCAGTTCCCAGCAGGGGACACACAAGAGGCAACCATACATTGATATTTCTCTCCCTCTCTCCTTCCCTTCCCCTCTAAAGATAAATAAATAAAATATTAAAAAAACTTTTTGGGAGCAAAGGCTGATTATCAACACTATTGAGTGACATTGTGAAATTAAATTAATAATCAATTTTGAATGGTTAGAACTTTCTTCAGAAGCCTGTGTCACATCTCTGGCCTGGGATACCTAGATTGATGCCACCGAGCTGCATTAACAGTGATCCTCATCGTACCCTTCCTTCCGAACACAGACAGTGTTCCTTCAAATGCAGAGAAGGCCTATCAATTTATCTAATGTTCCCACTTGACTCCATTCTAGAGAAAAGAATATTAATAGGAATTAATGTTGCTCTGGGTAGGATGTAATAGTTGTGGAAGCACAGCTGTATAGGGTATTCAAAGTTCTAAAATTGTAACTTGTAGAGGAATTTAATATTTGACTTCTTTTAGTATTATAATAATAGAAAGTCACTCCATGTACTTATCAGGGATTAGTGTCTTTTAAAATTTTTTAAAAGATTTTATTTATGTATCTTTAGAGGGGACAGGAAGGAGAGAGGGAGAGAAATATCAATGTATGGTTGCCTCTCATGGATCTCCTGCTGGGAACTGGCCTGCAACCCAGGCATGTGCCCTGACTGGGTATTGAAACACAGCGTTTGGTTCGCAGGCCTGTGCTCAGTCCACTGAGCTACACCAGCCAGGGCAGGGATGAATATCTTCATGTAGAAACTGAGAGGCAAATGTAAAACTAAGTGAGAGACATTAGGATATATCTAGAGGTACCATTCCTGGGGATTCTTGAAACTACCAAATGGGTCCTAGTTTAAAGACATTTGAAGAGCCTTTTAGTTGATAGTTTTTGTTAATTCAACAACAAATAATTACCGATGTCATAGTATTCTTAGTCTCATTTTAAGATGAATTTATGAGACTTTTAAACATGAAAAAGTGTGAAAGAAGGACATCCCAGGCATACAAGTAGTATGAGCAAAGGTTGGAAGATGGGAAAGAATAAATAGCAATTACTTCAATCCAGGCAAAATAAAGTGTATGTGTGTATTAGTTTCCTAGAGCTCTTCCAATAAGTTTCCACAAACTTGGTGGCGTAAAACAACAGAAATTTATTCTCACAGTTTCCAAGGCCAAAAGTCTGAAGTCCAGGTGTTGGCAGGACCACGCTTTGTCTGAGGGTTCTGGGGAAGAATTCTTCCTTGCCTCTTCCAGCTTCTGGTAGCTCCCTTTTGTGTTCCCTTGGTTTGTGGCTGTATCACTCATCTCTGTGTTCTACTTCACACGACCTTCTCTGTGTCTGTTTGTTCTACTCAACCCTTATAGGGGTACTCTCGTTGGATTTAGGGCTCACCCTAATCCAGTATTAGCTCATCTTAGTATTTAATTATCTGCACAGACCATATTTCCAAATAAGTTCACATTCTGAGGTTCAGGGTGGACATAAATTTCGGGAGGATGCTGTTCAATCCACTGCAATATGACAAAAATAATTTGGAAAAAAGAGGTAGTTGGAAATGCCGAGGAGGCTTTTGATATTAGCAGGCAACTTGGTCCACATTGTATCCCATGTGTCCCAGCATCATGGCAACTACTGTGGGAGGAAGGACTTGATTTTAAATTACTGATGCAAGATAAGCCCTCAATCAACAGCAGTGTGTGAGAGTGTCTGCTTTGTTATGGCCTCACCAGTAGAGTATGTTGTTAAACTTCTGGGTTTTGCCAGTTTGGGGGAAAATGGTATCTCATTGTGGTTTTTATTACATGTTTTATATGATTGAGGCTTAGCATCATTTGATCTGTTTAAGGATCATGTGCATTTTTGTTTCAATGAACGGTCTGCTTATATTTCTTGCATGTTTGTATATAGTGTTTTTGGTTTTTCCCTTCTGATATGCTAGAAACCTTTTATATATTGGGAATATTAACTCTGATATAAATTGCAAATATTTTTTTCATTGTCTCGTTACTTTGTTTATGGTATTCATATCTATGTACATTTTAGATCAGATTTATCAGTCTTTTCCCCTCATTGCTTCAGTATTTTGAGTCATTCTCAGATTATAAAGGACTTTAAGGATGTCTCACACCTCAGATTTTATTTTTTACATTTCAATCTCTGAGTTATTTGGAATTTTCCTGTTATATGGTATGAGGGATGGATTGAATTTTATTTTTTCTGTGTGGCTATCCAGTTGTTCCGACACCACTTTTGCCTACTTATTTAGATTAATGTTTACCCTATACTAAATATCCATATACAATGAGGTTTATTTCTAGATTATTCATTTTGTTCTATTGATCTGTCTGCTTTGTTATGCTCCTGTACCATGCTGTTTTAATTATAGCTTTATGTTTTAGTATCTAATACCCCTTCCTTATTTATGCTGCTTTTGTTTTTCCAAATTAACTTTATAATCAAATTGTCTAAGATCTTAACTTGTCTATTTTCTAAACAGATGATATTTTTATTGGGATCATGTTGAAAGTATATATGCAAACTAAGAAATTTACATTTAAAGTCATTTACTTATTGTAGTAAAATGCATAACAAAATTTATCACTTTAACAATTTTTAAGTAAACAGTTCAGAAGTCATTGCTTTTGAATCTTCCTAATATAAATTGAATACTTTTTCCATATATTTCTTACCTCTGGTGTTTTTTATTTTTATTTTTTATTTTTTTGGTATTTTTTTGTTTTAATCCTGGGCACTTGGCTTGATAAAGTTAGCCCAAATTTGAAGATTTTCTATTAGAGATGTGGAAGTGCTTATTAATACAGTTTTCCTTGATAATTTTCTGACTGAATTGATTTTTGTAGTGTTCATAAGGACATTAGAGTAATATTAAATTTCTTATTGTGGAACTGAGGTAGAGGCCAATTAACCCTAAAGCAATTTCCCATTTGGAGATATAATGCATTGGAATGTCCAACAGCCTGGACTCGAGTCACACGGCCTGGATTTGAATCCCAGCACTGCCACTCAGTAACTCTATGACATTGAGCAAGTGCCTCATTTTTCACATCTCTTAAATTACCTCATGATAATAATTTTGTACCTATGTTACATAGTGTTTTCTGTAGATTTCATGAATAAAATATCTAAAGTGCTTAAAATAGCGTGGGATATTATAACATTTATATGTGTTTTGATTTTGTTACAGTTTTATTGATGGTATAATAAGAAGAAAGATGGAAAATTAATTGAATAGATTAATTCTGAAAAGTATTAATTCTCTCCCCCTTTTTTTCCCCATTTAGGTGTGAAATGTTTCTCTTATTCTACAAGCATGATCAGCCTTGCATTTCTACCATACATTTTTGCACAAAATAATATTGTATTTGGAAGTCTGCCGTTGCAAATCTTATTTTATGGCATCATAGGAAGCTTTACAGTGATCACTCCAGTACTGCTTCACTTTGTTACAAAAGGCTATGTCATTCGATTGTACCATGAGGCCACAACAGACACTTACAAAGCCATTACTTATAATGTTGTGCTTTCAGAAACAAGTACAGTGTTTCATCAGAGTGACGTGAAGATTCCTAATAGTGCACATGTATTTACCACATTTTATGCTAAAACAAAGTCACTGTTAGTTAATCCAAGTCTCTTTCTAAATCCCAAGGACTATGACCATCTTATGGGTTATGACAAACCGTTCACTTTTGATATGGAAGAAATCAGTGAAAAGAAAGAGCTTAAAGATGAGAAATGAGTCTACTGTTTTTTATATTTGTGTTTAAATGTGATTTAGTTTCCCACATGTAATAAAATTGTCTTTTTGTTTTCTGTTAGTGATTGACTATTAAAAATAATTTCAAACTGTAGCAAACAACTTTTAATTAATTTTCAGAGAATTATATTCCTTTATAATAACAAGCTATGTGAAAACAAAGAGTATACTATTACACCATTTGTGGTTTTAAAAAGGTGTGAAAATACATGTACATGTTGGCATATGTATAGGTAATTGAATCAAGAGTGGTTGCCTTCAGCTGGGGATCAGACGTCAGACACGGAAGGGGTAGTTATTTTTCTTTTGTGTGGAGATCAGATGTCAAGGAAATAGGGGAAGTTATTTTTCCTTTGCATTTGGATTTTTCTTATTTATTTTTTTAAAGATTTTATTTACTTTTAGAGGAAGGGGAAGGGAGGGAGACAGAGAGAGAAAGAGCAATATGTGAGAGATGCATTGATGAGTTACCTCTTGCATGCCCCCAACTGGGGACCTGGCCCACAACCCAGGCATGTGCTCTGACTGGGAATCAAACCAGTGACCTCTCAGTTCATAAGCCAGCACTCAATCCACTGAGCCACACCAGCCAGGGCCTGGATTTTTCTAAGTGTATTACAGATAAATTATCTTTTCTCACATTAAAACTATTTAAAAATTTATAAATTCTGGAAAGTAGTGTTAATCTCCCTTTGGTCCAGTATACAGCTTATTGCCTATATTTTCTGGCAGGGATGCCCATAGTAAGACTGTCCATGTGCAGTCAAGTGTGGTCAGCTTTGGGGGAAATGGTGACCTAAATAGTATTGTCTTATGTGGTCCCATTTGTTCCTCATGCTCTCTTCCCTTGGTGCACCATTGGCAGGAAAGTGAACATGTACTGAATAGATGGATGGTACATTTTATAAAATAGCAATCTCTTTTTAAAAAGAAATAACAATTTGCTGTTTCACTGATCTATGCATTCATTGGTTGATTCTTGTATGTTCCCTGACTGGGAATAGAACCTACAACCTTGGCATATTGGGTCTACACTAACTAAGGAGCAGCCCAAGCAGGGATATGCGAATTCATTAAATATTGGCATTTTTAAGATTTTTACCTCTGATTTAAAATAAAAATTCTTTCCCATAAATGATTTTCAGCTATGATCAATAGACCTCAAACCATGCTATTTAGATCCATAGATACTTACTGAGTGCTGGAGGGTGCCAAGTACTGTGCTAGTTTCCAGGTCATAGTTAAGAACAAAACACCCAGATTGTATGGAGCTACCTAAAGTCTTATTGCCTGCCTAGGAGGTAAATCTAATCATGGCTTGCCTCTGTGTAGGGGAGGTTGATGGGGAAGCAACAGGGCCATCATTAGTTCATAGGGAAGATCATTTCAAGTCTGAACCTGCTAGAAGCTTACAGTTTAAGGAACGAAAGTGCTCGTCTTTCTGAGATCCAGAGCCTGCCTCCTCAGAGAATGGGCTCCAGGTCTCAGAAAGATGAACAAGCTGGTGCCATCTCTGTCCTCAGGCTGCATCTCTTCCTGCCTGTTCTGTCCTACGTGACCTAGATATATACCTGTGGCTGTCTTAGCAGTTAATGTGATTTATTATCTATCTAGAAAAATTATTACATCATCAAATTGTTCATTATGAAGTGCTGGAGAGGGCCCTGGCTGGTGTGGCTCAGTGGATTGAGCACTGGGCCTGTGAACCACAAGGTCTCTTATTTGATTCCCAGTCAGGGCATATGCCTGGGTTGTGGAGCAGGTCCCAGTGAGGCATATGTGAGAGGCAACCACACATTGATATTTCTGTCTCTTTCTCACTTCCTTATCCTTTGTCTAGAAATAAAATCTTAAATAAGTAAATAAAATACCAGAGAGTGGAAGCAAGAAAACATTCCTAGTTCTAGAAAAACCCAGTGTTGTTAACATTGTAAAGTTTTAGTTCAGGTTCGTGTTCATCATTTGTTTTGAGTACATTTTACCTTTCTTTAAATGTCCTCTATTCATGTAACCATTTTGTCACCTATGTAATGGAATGAAAAAACCTATTTTAGTATCAGAATAGACAGACTGGTGGTTTATGAAAAAGAAGAAAGCTTAAAAAATTGAGTGAGAAAGATGATTTCTCAAAAGGACAGCATGCAGAGGGGTAACATGGTGATTCTTCACTGAAATCAGTCAGCAGGAACAACTCGGGTCAACCCCAGGCAGAGCGATCTTGGAAAGACTGGGAAGGTGATGAGTCCCCCACTGTCAATGTGAAGGGCATTGAATCAGTTTTGTTTGAGTCTTAAAGAGTAGGGTGATCCTAGCTGGTACCTGGGTTACATCAGATAATAAATATACCCTTGGACCGCAAAATGTGCTATACTTCTTTTCCTTAGTGTAGATTTAATTATACTGAAAGAGTGCAGCTTTTGGGAACAAAAGTAACAGAGTGGCCTTTGTAACAAATAGTATTCTGATTTTTTTTCATAATACTCTGTATTTCTGTTGCTTTGAGAATTTCAAACCTTCCCAATTATGAGAGTACAAGGAGCCAACATGACCAATTTGTGGTCAATATTATTTCAGCCAGACTCCAGCCACTTGCCCTCTGCTTTTACTTGGGAGCATCTCATTCATCATAACCTTAAATACTGAATTTTGTAACTCTGTAAGATAAGGACTAAAAGATATAACTACTATACCATTATAATACCCAAACTACCGCCCCCAGCGTTATCAAATAGTCTGTTCAAATACCCAATTGTTTTATAGTCCCTCCAGGGGGGTTTTCCTTTAAAAAATGGGTTTTTGCCTTTAAAAACACACATTTTGCTTGCATTAAGATCTAAGTAAAGTTTACACCTTAATCACTGCCCCCCCCCCCATGTCGTTTGAGGTTAAAAAGGCCACTGGCCCAGGAGCAGTTGGCTCCAGTTACACGTAAGCTCCTGCTCTGGTGCTGCAGCTTGACCTCTCACCACACACAGGCGCAGTGGGGACTCAAAGGCAGCATCTTTAATCAGCAATTATTGATATGTCTTTTAACACTTAAAATTGTGGCTTCTTCCTTTTTTTTACTTATTTTTTTTCCGTCTTGCAAATTAGCTGTTGAAGAAACTGATTTTGCCCTTTATACATTTTCATGATATAGATTTTCTGATTGTATCCCCAAGGTGTAATTCAACATATTTCTCTGTCTGCTATATTTCATATAAATTGGTTGTACTTGAAGCTTCATCAGTTGAAGTTTGATTATTTTAGAGAAGACTAATTCATAGATTATGTTGTTTGTATTATCGATTGTTATGTAAAAAAATGCCCCTTAGCCCTGGCTGGTGTGGCTCAGTGGATTGAGTGCCAGCCTTGGAACCAAAGTGTTCAAAGCTGAGAAAAGCAAAGAAACAAATTCTGCTGATCTCCAGAAGGAACCAACTCTGCAGACAACGTGACTTTAGCACCGGGTAACTGATTGCAGACCTCTGACCTCCAGAGCTGTAAGAGAATGCATTTGCCTTGTTTTAAGCCACTATATTTGTGGTTATTTGTTACAGTGGCAATAGGAAACCTATCTTTAGTCAATGGGACTGTCTTCAAATTGGTTATCTAAGATGATAAGGTGTTCAGGCTCATCATGTACAATTTATTCCCCAGACCTAGAATCAACAATTTCTCCAGTCTTTGTTCCTTTTAGTGAGAAATAGTATTTCAAGAACACTACAGGCTTTTCCTCTTTTGTTTCCCCTCACTTTTTAAACACATTTTAAAAATTATGGTAAAACAAAACAAGACAAATTCTCTAGAACATTTTTTAAAATCTTGCAAGCCTAGGCCCTGCCTGGTGTAGCTCAGTGGATTGAGCTTGGGCCTGCAAACCACATGATCGCGGTTCGATTCCCAGTCAGGGCACATGCCTGGGTTGCAGACCAGTTCCCTGCAGGCCAGTTCCCAGCAGGGGACGCACGAAAGGCAACCATACATTGATGTTTCTCTCCCTCTCCCCTTCCCCCCTTCCTCTCTAAAGATAAATAAATAAATAAATAAATAAATAAATAAATAATAAAATCTTGCAACTCCCCATGTCTTCAGTCCCCAGGGGGTGTTTGCCTTTAAAAAATGGAAAAGACATACACTTCTTTAGTGAAAACTTTTACCAACATGTGCATATTTTCCTCTAAACTTGTGGATTTTTATGCCCCAACTCCACATGCCATTGTAATCCCAAATAGTATGCTATGATTTCAAGTAGCAAAGAACCTAAAGGATCAGCTGTTTTCTAGAATTGAATAAGAGTTTTGAAATGAAACAAATGCCACACACGAGATAGTGACCATTTTATTAATACAGCTCAAAATACTTCCTGGAGCTGCAGTTTGCTTAAGGAAGTACACTCTCAAGCCTGCTGGTATCCCAGCCCTCAAAGCAGAACTACAGGTAGTATCCTGTAGTTCTCTGAGTCTCGCGTTTAGGGTCTCCTCCAGCCTGGCTCTGCCCCATGGCTGAACCTGTTACTGAACAGAAATAGTTTGCATGTGATTATTCAGTTCAGATCTATACACTCAGCACTCTGAGCCACGAGAAATTGTTGTCTGAAGAAACTTTGTGGGAGAAAAGAGCTATGCAGATGGGAAGGGGTGCCATCTGTTGGAATCCTAAAGGAGACCTACTGGCTGGTTTTGTTATTGTTGACTGGGAAATACCATGTTTTGTTTTTAAAGCTCTGTGCTCTCATTTGTATCAAATGCTGGAAAAGTACAATCTGAATCATTTTCTTCTCTACCATTACAGGAAGAGCTCAGATCTCTCTCTCTCTCTCTCTCTCTCTCTCTCTCTCTCCACACACACACACACACACACACACACACACACACACACGGACAGGACAATAAAGAGGAACGTAGTTGAATTGGAACTAGGAAGTCATGTGACTAATAAGTAAGTTCAATTTTTTTCTACTTACTGGAAAGGACGAGGCTGATGATGAGTTACTGATTCTCCTTGTATTTGTGAAGCTTTGGAGATATTAAATCATGTTCCCACTTATGCTCTTTTCTACCCTGTTTTCTTCCACATTTACTGAACCCGAGGAGCAACACTGGATCTGCAACTCCTCTGATGCGAGTGTTTGGTATACCTACTGCGGTAAGTGCACCAGCAACAAGCAGTTGTAGCGTCAACTATTTAAAGGCTGCGTTTTCACAAGAACCTCACTTTGCTGTGGTGGAGACACAGGAAATGATCGTATGATCCAGGGGCTGCTAACAGCAAGAGTGATTGCTGGTGACTTCCTTGTATGGCTTTTCTTGATCCTTCGCAGACCTCACCAGTTTCTAAACTGTTGTATTTAAAACTCCAAGTGCTTTTGTTGTTTCCTGTGGTCAGCTTTCCCGACCTTGAGCCCAGTTTCGCATTCCTCCCAGTTTCGGCAGAACTGTGTGCTTCTGAGCTTTGCCTCAGCCCCAAGACTTTCTTCTTGACAAGCACAAACAGTCCTAGCTGATTCCTGGAATTAATTATTGCTCTAAGCCAGTGGTTTTCAAACAGTGTGCCACAAGAATTTTTAAAACATGCAATACCTGACTATTTACTCAGGGTCACTGACCTCTTATTCCCTTACATTGTCAAATAAGAAAATGGTAACAGCCAACACAGCAATAGCCTTCCTACTGGTATGAATGAATAAAAATTCTACCTATTTTTTTAAGTCAAAAATATATTTTTTGGTGTGCCACAGAATTTTAGTAATTCATTTGTGCCACGGGATGAAAAAGGTTGAAAATTGTTGCTCTAAGCTGTATTATTATTACTTTTTGTTAGTATAGTATTGGCATATAACAGGTACTCAAGGCTCATAAAATGGATGTAAGCCTGGTTCGGTCATTTACTGGCTGTATGACCTTGAGCAAAATACTTAGCCTCTCTGTGCCCCAGTTTTTTAATCTGTAAAATGAAAGTGATTTTAGAACCTATTTTACAAGAATTGCTGTAAGATAAAAATTTTAGCACAGATCCACATAGAAACAGTCTTCATTGCTTATTTAAAAAATCATCCATACCCTAATGCTATTAACTGCTTGGATCACTGCTCCCCACCCCCTTTCCCTTCTCTGCAAGCACAGCTTCAGGACTTCATCAGTTTTCTTTGGTGCTTTCTACTTCGTTGCTCACCATGGGTTGGTTGGATGGCTTTTTTTGCCCACTGGTGATACCAGAAAGGTAGAAAGGGAGTCTTCCCCAAACGTTAGTTCTTTTGAGATTCTTTTGGGAAAGGGGATTTATGGTTTAATCATTTTGGGGAAGTTACAAGTGTACATTGAGGTCTGAGAAGTTTTGCAATGAAGAAACCTATTTATTTTATTTTATTTTTGAATGTGCGTTGAGCATCGTAAGAAACACTCCGGCAAATGCTAACGTAAAGTTACTTCCGGGCAATTAACATAACTGACAGGTGTGAAAACAAGCTGAATTCCCTCTCAACTTGGCCCTGGACTTTCTTTGTTCTACAAGATCAGTGCCCTTGCCCGCTTCCAAGAAGGCTTCTCAGTCCACTCGCCCCACACACTGATTATGCTACTTTCTCTGTGATAAGTTTCAGAGGACCTTTATTAGTAACACTTCATATTATAATTAGTTTTTAAGCACTTAGTAAAAATGATTTGATTTGTCTTTTGATTTTTGTGGGAGGATCTCGCCTCTCACTGTAATGCTGAGAGATCCCGTGGTCCCTCCCTGCTGACCCATGGATGGCAGGACTGGGAGGCAAGCGATACAACAAGCCTGTGTGTGGTACAACGAGCCTGCCAGCCGCCATCTCCAACTTCATGCCCCTCCTTTCTCCACCTCAGAGAATCCATACCGGTTAAAAAGTCCCAAAATTTAAGCCCTGGCTGGTGTAGCTCAGTGGATTGAGTGTGGGCCTGCGAACCAGACAATCGCGGTTCAACTCCCAGTCAGGCCAGTTCCCAGCAGGGGACACATGAAAGGCAACCATACATTGATGTTTCTCTCCCTCTCTCCTTCCCTTCCCCTCTAAAGATAAATAAATAAAATCTTGGAAAAAAAAGTCCCAAAATTTAAGAGGTAATGTTATAAAAATATGTCTTGGGGAATGTTTTTCCCCTCACACATAGCTCAAAATAATTAAATAGATTCAACCTCCACCTTAACAATGTAAAGACATTAAAACACTAATCTATTTACATTATGGGGAAATTTTTTTACTTGTCCAACATTTTAAATTTTACTTTACTCTAGCAAGAGCACTTTACATGATATGTACTCTCTTAAAATTTTAAATGTACAGTACATTGTTGTTGACAATAGATACAATGTCTCACAGCAGATTCCTACAGCTTATTCCTTCCTTGTGCTTGACTGACACTTTATACCTGTTGATGAGTGACTCTCCATTTCCCCTCCTCGTAGCCCCTGGCCGCCACCATTACACTATTTTTTTAGTCCTTATCTAATTTTTATTTTTTTTAAGATTTTATTTATTTATCTTTAAAGAGGAAGAGAAGGAGAGAAATATCAACATATGGTTGCCTCTCATGAATCCCCTGCTGGGAACTGGCCTGCAACCCAGGCATGTGCCCTGACTGGGAATCGAACCGCGCTCCTGTGGTTCACAGGCCCTCGCTCAATCCACTGAGCTACACCAGCCAGGGCAGGATATGTTTTATTTTTTAAGTTGATTTGCGAGAGAGAGGAAGGGGATTGAACCTGCAACCTTTTGGTGTACTGTCAGTGCTCCAACCAACCAAGCCACCCAGCCAGGGCCCATTCCACTCTTTGATTCTATGAATTTGACTATTTTAGATATTGCAGATAAGTGGAATCATATTGTATGTGTACTTATATAACTTATTTTCTTTAGCATAGTTTCCTCAAGATTTATTCATGTTGTAGCAAATTTTCAAATTTCTTTCCATTTTAAAGGCTGAAATACTTGAAATACTTTATAGTATTTCGCTGTATGTATGTGCCACCTTTGCTTTCTCTATTCATCTATCAATG